GCACCTAGATTGGTGCCTGGCACATAATAGGTGTTCAATAAATATCTTTTGAATGTATAACACCTTCAGTCTGTCAGGTGCTCTGCTAGGGACTGAGGACAAAATCCCTGCTCTGCTGGGGTGATTTTCTGGTTGGGAAGAGTCAAACATGCAAGCAGGCAAATAATTGCAAATCCTGAAGTTCTAAGAGGATGAAGCAGAGTGCATGGGAGGGGAGGAAAGAGGAGAGAAGCTGCTCTACAGGGGTGACAAGTTAGGTTTATCCTAGGAAATGAGAAGAACGAGAGGGTGAAAAGCACAACAGGCACAGGGAACCGCATGTCCAACTCTCTTCAGGGGAAAAAGAGCTTGGCTTATTCCAGGAACAAACCAAGTAGGCAAGGGAGCCTCAGAGAGATGGTGTAAGGGCTTATGGGTTTTCAGGGAGTTTGGGATTTATGCAAAATGTAGTGGGGAGGAGGGCTCTTGAGTTTTAAGCTGGGGCAGGGCATGTGGGATTTGTGTAAAGCAGTGAGCAAATTACAGCTCAAGGGCCTACTTTGGCCACTGCCTGTTTCTGGAAACACACCTACTAGTTTTCTTAGGAGCTACAAAGGCAGAGTTTAGTGAGTTGGACCAGAGACCAACCAACCGCAAAGTCGGAGAACCTTTTTGGAAAAGGTCTGCAGCCTGATTTTAAGGTGATTATTCAGGGTACAGCTGACCCCGCCCACTCCCTCACCCAAGGTGCAATCTATACCAGTTCCTGTTGACGTCTACTGAATCTCATCAATTCCCCCAATTTCCAATGCCACCAATCCTGCTTGGAGCCACTATAATCCCACCTGAACAAATTTAATCACCTCCTCATTGGCCTCCCTGTTTCTGTTCATAAGCCTGATGGAGTCATTCTCTACTCAAAGCCACCAATGCCTCTCCATTGTTCAAAAAACAGACATACTCTTCACCGTGGCCTAGGAGGCCCACCAGCACCCCCAATCTCTCCCACCTCAGATCCCTCTACTTGCTCTGCCTCACTCCAACCCCAGCCTCACGAGCCTCCTAATTCTCCCTAAAAACACCAAGCCCAATCCCCTTTGCACCTGCTGTTCCCTTTGCTCAAAATGCTTTTCCCACAGACCTTCTCACAGCCCAAATGACCTTTCCTCAGACAGATTTTCCCTGCCCAGCCAAGGTAAAATAATATCCCCATCCCTCCCTCTCTGGCATCCTTCTCCCATTGATTGTTCCTGTCTTTATCGCTTGCTGATTGTTCTTCAGTCTTTATCACTTGCTGACATGATTTACTTGCTATCTGGCTCCTGTACCAGGATGTAAGATCCATGAAAGCCGAGGTTTTGTCCCTTTCATTCTCTGCTGTATCCCATAGCATCCTGCCAGCTACAGCGTAGATGCTAACAGAGAAGAACAAATGTATTGAATAAATGCAAGTATCCAGAGAGGGATATAATAATCAAAAATATCTCCCCATCATGGTTGTTACGGGATTATTTTTATTTATTATTATTATTATTATTTTTTTTTTTAAGACGGGGTTTCACCGTGTTGGTCAGGCTGGTCTTGAACTCCCGACCTCAGGTGATCCGCCCGCCTTGGCCTCCAAAGTGCTTGGATTACAGGCATGAGCCACCGCGCCCGGCCTGTTACAAAGATTAAATGACATCAAGCATGTAAAGAAACTAGAACAGAGTCTGACACACAGCAAATAATAAATAATAACCATTAGTATTACCATCATTATTGTTATGACTTTTATGGGTGGATTTTTTTTTTTTTTTTTTTTTGAGATGGAGTCTCACTCTGTCACCCAGGCTGAAGTGCAATGGCACAATCTCAGCTCACTGCAACATCCACCCCTCAGATTCAAGCAATTCTCTGCTTCAGCCTCTCTAGTAGCTGGGATTACAGCGCCTACCACCATGCCCAGCTAATTTTTTTTTTTTTTTTTGAGACGGAGTTTCGCTCTTGTTACCCAGGCTGGAGTGCAGTGGCGCGATCTCGGCTCACCGCAACCTCCGCCTCCTGGGTTCAGGCAATTCTCCTGCCTCAGCCTCCTGAGTCGCTGGGATTACAGGCACGCGCCACCATGCCCAGCTAATTTTTTGTATTTTTAGTAGAGACAGGGTTTCACCGTGTTGACCAGGATGGTCTCGATCTCTTTTTTTTTTTTTTTTGGGACGGAGTTTCGCCCTTGTTACCCAGGCTGGAGTGCAATGGCGCGATCTCGGCTCACCGCAACCTCCACCTCCTGGATTCAGGCAATTCTCCTGCCTCAGCCTCCTGAGTAGCTGGGATTACAGGCACACGCCACCATGCCCAGCTAATTTTTTGTATTTTTGTATTTTTTGTAGAGACGGGGTTTCACCGTGTTGACCAGGATGGTCTCGATCTTTTGACCTCGTGATCCACCCGCCTCGGCCTCCCAAAGTGCTGGGATTACAGGCTTGAGCCACCGCGCCCGGCCTGGTCTCGATCTCTTGACCTCGTGATCCACCGCCTCAGCCTCCCAAAGTGCTGGGATTACATGCGTGAGCCACCGCGCCCCGCCCAATTTTTTTCTATTTTTAGTAGAGATGGGGCTTCACCATATTGGTCAGGCTGATCTCGAACTCCTGATACCAGGTGTTCCATCCACCTCAGCCTCCCAAAGTGCTGGGATTACAGGCCACCACGTCCTGGATTTTTGAGATCAAGAGAAATTTAATCACCAGCTTTGTCTTGTCCCAGCTGAGGAAACCTGAGCAAGTCACTTTACCTCCTGTTCCTTCAGTTTCCTTGTCTATTAATTGGGCTGGAATCCTCCACACCCAGCAGGCTAAAATTGAAGATCAGCAAAATGCTGATCAGCAAAATGGAATGATGGTGACTCTAAGCAGGATTGGTGGCACTGAGGATGGGGGGAAGTGATGAGATTCAGTAGATGATGTCAACAGGAACTGGTATAGATAGGACCTGGAGTGACGGGGAGCAGGAAGGGATCACCTGTAGCCATTTCTCCACAAACTAGTTATGATGATGACTTTTTATGCTGCAGCTGTTTTTTCTGCTGTTTTCGGTTTTTTTGGGTTTTCTTGGTACAGATGGTGGGAGAGGTCTCTCTCTCACTAGGTTGCCCAGTATGATCTCGAACTCCTGGGCTCAAGCAATCTACCTTGGCCTCCCACAGTGCTGGGATTACAGGCGTGAGCTACTGTACGTAGCGTTTTTTTTTTTTTAAGTTTTGTTGTTGTTGTTTTGAGATGGACTTGCTCTATTGCCCAGGCTGAGCATCCACAAGATCTCAACTCACTGCAACCTCCACCTCCTGGCTTTAACCGAGTCTCCCATCTCAGCCTCCTATGTAACTGGGATTGCAGGCCTGCATCAACACACCCAGCTAATTTTTGTATATTTAGTACAGACGGGGTTTTACCATGTTGGCCAGGCTGGTCTCCAACTCCTGACCTCAAGTGATCGGTCCACCTCAGCCTCCCAAAGTACTGGGATTACAGGCACGAGCTACCACGCCTGGCCTTGGCCATGTAGATTTCTTTCACATTTTCCTTATTCCTCTGAGACCCCATGAGGGGAAGCTGGTAGCCATGGGTCTTTTCAGGTCCCTGTGGCCAAATTAGGCCCACATGTTAATGTCCCGTCCACGGTTGAAAAGGCCAACAAACTAAGAGAGCTGCGGACGCACAGACTGGCAGAGACACCAAGACGCTACCGCGACCCCACTGCACAGATGAGCAAACGGAAGCTAACTTCAGCGTTCCCTCCTCCTCTCTAGGCACTTCCAAAAGGCCTGCTCAGGGAGCTCTGGCCGCCGTTCTCAGACAATTGCGTGACTTTTTTTTACTGACACTGAGGGCTGGAGACGGTCACCTTTCCAGGCAACTGTGTGTCCATTTCCCAGAGAGGGAAACTGAACCCCAGAGAAGGCAGGTGTGGCTGGAGGCCATGGGTCAGTCACAGGCAGAACTATGCCCTGAATAAAGGAAAAAGGCAAAGTGGGTCTCCCTGACTTCCTTCCCTGGCATCACAAGGAATTCCAGAGCCCATGTGCCACATAAAGAAACTGAGGCCTGGCGTCTTCCATGAAGCCTGGCAGGGGTCGGGGTCACACACAGAAGGCAAAGCTGTCCAAGCCTTCAAGGTCATTCTGACTGATCTTTGAGCCTTCGCAATACTAGACGTGGACCTAAAACCATTTCCAGCACAAAATGGCGCCTCGTAGATAAACGTAGCGGGAGTTCCAGCGCCCACCTTCACCACGGCTGAGAGGAGGGGGCGCGCGCGCAGCAGCGCGCAACTCATTTGCATATATAAAAATCAATGGATTTCGTTGGCTGGGAGCGGTTTGATCTGCAAGAAACTGGGTCTGTATTGGTCGCTATCCATTCCTGCCCGCCCTCTGACCGGCCTCTGTCAGCCATTGGCCCGTGCGAGTCTCGTGACCCTATAGTCACTAAGACGCATCTCTATTGGCCCGAGCGCCTTCCGTCACGCGTTTAAAACCCCGAGTCCCGCCTCTCCTCGCCATGCTCCAGCCCCGAAGACGACCGTTAGTCGCGTGCGCGACTTCCTCAGCGTCAGGGCGCGCGCGCGCGCGCGTATGCCGGGCCGTGGCGGCGTCTCATTCAAACGGCCCAATCAGCGGCCGCGTCGCCTTCCGCGTCCCCTTCCTCTCTACTTTCCTTTTTCAGCCCCTCCGTTCTTTGAGACCCCTCCCCGACACTCGCGGACCCCCATTGGCCGGCCCGCCTCCCAGCCCTCTCCGCCACTTCCCTCGCTTCTGACCACAGTTTGCGGGGGAAGGGAGCGAGCCCGTCGAACACCAAGGAACGTGCGCGCTGACGTCACGGTTGAGGCTTGGGGCTGAGGGGCTGCGGGGGGCGTGGCCTGCGGGCGGCTATAAAGAAGCTGTGGTGCGCGCGCGGCCGGCTCAGTGCGGCCGGGCACCTGGGTGGTGGGTTGTTGGACGCTGTGAGCGGCAGGTGTCGGAGGCAGCGGGGAGCTGAGCGGGACCGCCCGGGTCTCGCCAGGGCCGTAGCGGCAGCAGTTGGGCCCCCCGCCCCGGCCGGCGGGCCGAAGAACGCAGGAAGGGGGCCGGGGGGACCCGCCCCCGGCCGGCCGCAGCCATGGTGAGCGCGGGCGGCGAGGCCCGAGAGGGTGGTTGGGGGTGCCCCTGAGGGAGGAGGCGGAGTCTCCTTCGACCGGCGGCCTTGTGGGGTTTGAGGGCCATCCTGGGGGTCCCTGATTCAGATTGGGCCCTCGGGCCTTCCTGCAGGCGGAGCAGGAGCTTGGGCGGCCCGCAGTCTCCCTGGCGGCGAGGGCTCCGGGCGCTTTGCGGCCCGCCCATGGGTGTTACCGGGAGCAAGGACGCCCCGCCGCCATCTCCAGACCTGAGCCGGGGTTTCAAGGATGCGCTAACCAAAAATAAGTGGAGAAGGAGGAGAGGGTAGATCTCTGGCCCATGCGGAAGCATTGGGGCCCATGCAGGGTTAGGAGCGGGCTTTGGGGGTTTCTGGGACGGATGGATTTATCTGGAAGCCCCCTCGGGAACCCGTCCCCATTTCTCTTGGGAGTTCTGCCTGGGCAGGTGGCCTAAAGCATCGTGGGTGGGGGTCTGGGAGTTCAAGGATGATTGACAGCCTGGGGCCACTGGGTCAAGACTCGGGCAGTCTCAGCATCTTTAGGCCCTCCGGGAAGCCTAACTCTGAACGTCCGCTCACCCTGCTCTCCCACCGTGCCCAGAACTCCAACGTGGAGAACCTGCCCCCGCACATCATCCGCCTGGTGTACAAGGAGGTGACGACACTGACCACAGACCCACCCGATGGCATCAAGGTCTTTCCCAACGAGGAGGACCTCACCGACCTCCAGGTCACCATCGAGGGCCCTGGTGAGTTTGGAAGGAAAGATGGAGGGGGGTTGCTGCTTAGATCCTGCTTTAGAACAGACCACCAGAAGTACAGTACCCATTACAGGCCGGCCTTGTGTCAGGGGCGGGGGGTGCAGTGGTGGATAGGGCAGGATGCCACAAATGACAGTTATGTATCCTTTTCTCATAAGAGTTGACACATACCTGGTGATTGAGACAGTTTATCATGGGGCGGTACCCTGGATTTGAAGCAAGGCTCTCAGACATGGCTTCCCTGGACTTGAGAATGGATAGAAATGAATAGAGTGGGGAAGAGAGTTGCAGGTGGTAGGAATGGTGTCAGGAAAGGCCTGGGAGGGTAAGCCAGATGATCTCAAACTCCATCCTGCTGCGAGTGTCAGGGATGAGGAGACAAGCCAGATGCAGTATCATGGAGAGACAGGTCATAAATAACCATGTGATTTTGCAGAGCTGTTGAGAATATGGTTTCATGCAAGCTACATTTATGTTATCACCAGAATTCATACAAAGCCAGTCAGGATTTGAGAAGAGCATGTGAAGGAATGGTCTAGTCCACTGTGGTGGTGGTGGTGATGGTGGTGACAGTTGAGGTCATTCATGCCTTGGTGCATGGGGTGATAACAGGGCACAGGATCATGAAGATGGGAAGGCTCCCAGAAAGCCCCTGAGGCGGGTGGAGCTGTGTGCTTGGTAAAAACACACGAAGTATCTGTGGTTTTGGCCGGGAGCAGTGGCTCCAGCCTGTAATCCCAGCACTTTGGGAGGCCGAGGTAGGCGGATCACCTGAGGTCAGGAGTTTGAGACCAGCCTGGCCAACATGGAGAAACCCCATCTCTTTAAATAAATAAATAAAAATGTAAAAAAAAAGAAAAACACTTGAAGTAAGTTGATGGTGAAGCTGCTCAGGGCAGATCTTTTAGGGCTTCTAGGCCTCTGTAAGCAGTTTGTAGGGGAAGCTGGTGGAAGGTTTAAAGCAGGGGTATGGCAGATCCCTCCAAAGTTCCTGTTAACTGGAGTAAGGAGAGTGGGCCTGGCAGGGGGAAGAAACAGGCCAGTCAGGAAGCTAGCCTCAGAGGTGGGATGAGATTCATGAGAGGACCTAGTGGGCTATGGTCAAGCACTTGATGGGCTAGGGGAGGGACAAGCAAGTGGGCGAGTGGGAGAATGTTGATTGAGGTGGGAGGCCATGGAGTTGACAGATCGTTGGATCCTTTGTCTGAAAGTCATGTAAGTAGGCATCTTAAAGGGAGATAAGTAGGTACTTGGGTCCCTGGCGCCTGGGAAGGGCCTGTGACTGGGGTGGTCACTTGAGCCATGAGAAGGGATATCCAGGGGGTGGAGACTAGAGCTTGATAGTGACACAGCTGGGAGCTGCAAGATGGGCATCATCTCTGAGTTCTGGGTGAGGTCCTGTGGTTCCCTAGGAACCAGCCTTTCTTCCTCTTAAGAATTCTCCAGCCTGACTGGGCATGGTGGTCTATGCCTGTAATCCTAGCACTTTGGGAGGCTGAGGTGAGCAAATTGCTTGAGCCCAAGAGTGCAAGACCAGTTTGGGCAACATAGTGAGACCCTGTCTCTCCGAAAAAAGTAGCCAGACATGGCGGCAAGCCTGTAGTCCCAGCTATTTGGGAGGCTGAGGTGGGAAGATCACCTGAGCCCGGGAATTGGCAGGCTGTAATGAGCTGAGATTGTGCCACTATTTAAAAAAAAAAAAATCAGCCTGATGGCAGAGCTGGCAGGACACCCACCTGTGTCACAGCCAGACCACGGAGTCTGGGCTTTGAGGCATTGAGGTGCCTTGGGAGTCCTGAGTGCCCTGACCCTTTCCCCCTCCCTCCACTCCAGAGGGGACCCCATATGCTGGAGGTCTGTTCCGTATGAAACTCCTGCTGGGGAAGGACTTCCCTGCCTCCCCACCCAAGGGCTACTTCCTAACCAAGATCTTCCACCCGAACGTGGGCGCCAATGGCGAGATCTGCGTCAACGTGCTCAAGAGGGACTGGACAGCTGAGCTGGGCATCCGACACGTGCTGCTGGTGAGTTCTGGGCTAGGGCTGGGCCTTCTGCTTCCCGCCTCTGGAGGTCCACTGGTGTCTGAGCCATAGTGCTTTCTTTAGTTTTTCTGAGTCAGCTGTAAAGTAGTTGAAGGTTTCCATGTAAAAATCCAGGTTGCTAGCTTTCCTGGAAAGTTGAACAATGCCAGACCCAGGACACCAAGTATTGTTGAGAAGTGCCCAAGGGCACCTTGCCATGCAGGAAGTGATGGGCTCCTATTGTAACATGGTTTTCTCTTTTAAAAAAAAAAAGCGATGGGTAGACTGGTGCCGTGGCTCACACCTATAATCCCACACTTTGGGAGGCTGAGGTGGGCAGATTACTTGAGGTCAGGAGTTGGAGACCAGATTCTCTACTAAAAATGCAAAAATTAGGCCGGCGCAGTGGCTCACTCCTGTAATTCAGCACGTTGGGAGGCCAAGGTGGGTAGATCATGAGGTCAGGAATTCAAGACCAGCCTGGCAACATGGTGAAACTGTGTCTTACTAGAAATATAAAAATGAGCTGGGCATGGTGGTGGGCACCTGTAATCCCAACTACTTGGGAGGCTAAAACAGGAGAATCGCTTGAACCCAGGAGGTGGAGATTGCAGTGAGCTGAGATTGTGCCACTGCACTCTAGCCTGGGTGACAAGAGGTGGCGCCAACCTGTAATCCCAGCTACTAGGAAGGCTGAGGCAGGAGAATCACTTGAGCCCGGAAAGCGGACGTTGCAGTGAGCTGAGATCACGCCACTGCACTCCAACCTGGGTGAAATTTTTATTTAATTAAAAAATTAAATAAAACAGGGATGGGGTCTCATTTGTTGCCCAGGCTGGTCTCAAACTCCTAAACTGAAGTGATCCTCTCACGTCAGTCTCCCAAAGTGGTGGGCTTACAGAAGTGAGCCACTGCACCTAGCCTGTAGGACAGTTTTCTGACAGGTGGAAGTCAAGAGTCTGGTTAGAAGCTTTTCTTTCTCTCTTTTTAAAAGATACAGGCTCTTTGTTTCCCAGGCTGGAGTGCAGTGGCACAATCATAGCTCACTGTAGCCTTGAACTCTGGGCTCAGGTGATCTTCTGCCTCAGCTCCCTGAATGGCTGATATTACAGACATGCACCATCATACCCATCTAATTTTTAAATTTTTATGGTCTGCAGAGATGGGGTCCCATTAGAGGCTTTTTTGCTAAAGCTGAATTTACATGCCATAAAACTCACTGTTCCAAAGTATACAGCTCAGTGGTTTTTTTTAACAGTGATAGAGTTCATAAATCAGGGTTTCTCAGCCAGAGGTGATTTGGCTCCACAAGGGGTATTTTGCATCGTCAAGAGACCAAAAATGTTGTCGTCACAAGTTGGGATGCCACTAGCATCTGGTGGGTGGAGGCCAAGGGTGCTGCTCACATCCTACAGTGCACGGGGTGGTCCCATGATGAAGAATGACTTGGCCAAGGTGGAGGCGTCCTGGTCTAGGCCGGTGCTCCAAGTTCTTCACAGGCTGCTCACAGCCTGCTGCCTCCCCCATCCTCCCTGCAGGCTGAAAAAAATTTTTTTGACTTAATTTCTAATGAGCCCCTGGGGCACATGGCAGAGAGGGTGGGAAATTGGGGTTTCCTGCAATGCACAGGGAGTGGACTGAGCTCCAAGGTAAACAGACCCCGAACCTTTCCCTCCCACATGCACTGATTCCCTCCCCCTGGAGGTCATTGGAGGCTACTGGGGACATTGGCACTGAGCTCCAGGCCTGCTGGCTGCTGAGTCTGCATCTGGACCTGTTGGGGACTCAGCCAGCAAGAGAGCCGTGGGAAGGGCAGCCAGGCCTGCAGTTTGCATGCAGTGGTGAGAATTAGGGTGGGGACCTGCGTCCTGGTCACCATCAGTGATGTCTGCTGAGCCAGGTGCTGTGTGTGTGTCCTAGTGGCCCCAGGGAGCAAACAGCCTTGGCCAGTTTGCCCAGCCCACTTGAGGTTGCACCAGGGGCTGCTGGAGGCCTGGCTGCATGTCACACCTCTGCAGTCCAATTTATGCCTCAGGACAGGCTGATGAAGGGGCATTGAGAGGAATCCCCCCTCTCCTGAGGGCCACCCTCGAGGTGCACCTCAGGCCACCAGTCCTGGTGTCTTGCCCTGTTGAGTAGGGTCCAACCCAGCTATTGTCTTAGGATTTCCTATAAAAGACAGGGACAGGTCAGGATTTCTCCTCTATCTGGAAAGGTGGGAGCTTTAGAGTCCAATAGGCAGGTGTGAGGTCCTCACATCCTCAGTGGCCCTGGGGCAAGCCTCTTCCCTTTGTCCAGGCTCTGGGTCTCACTCATTGAACCCGAGGGCCTCTGAGGTGGTGATGAACAGCACAGAGGCAAATTCAAAACCATGATAGGACTCAAGTCTGGGGCTCAGGCAAGTAATGGACTCCTCAGAGGAGGCCTTGGCTTCCCCCCATCACTCAGCAAGTTCCACTGAGAACCAGGGACATTTTAAACCATTGGCCCCGTGGTGTCGTGTCCTTTTGGGAACATCTCCTGTGAGTCGGGTAACAGGAACGTGGCCTCTGAGGGAGACAGTGAGCAAAGATGAGGGAGGGTGCGGCATCGGTGGATCCTCAATCTGATCCCCCAGGCAGCTGAGTTGGGAGCAGAAGGAACAGGCAGAGCAAAAGCACCCTCTTGTGCAGGTCCGGGGTTCCTGTAGGTTGCCCAACCCTCCCTGACCCTGGGCCTCTTCCCACAGACCATCAAGTGCCTGCTGATCCACCCTAACCCCGAGTCTGCACTCAACGAGGAGGCGGGCCGCCTTCTCCTCGAGAACTATGAGGAGTATGCGGCTCGGGCCCGTCTGCTCACAGAGATCCACGGGGGCGCTGGTGGGCCCAGTAGCAGGGCCGAAGCTGGTCGTGCCCTGGCCAGTGGCACTGCAGCCTCCTCCACCGATCCTGGGGCCCCAGGGGGCGCAGGAGGGTCTGAGGGTCCCATGGCCAAGAAGCATGCTGGCGAGCGTGACAAGAAGCTGGCAGCCAAGAAAAAGACGGACAAGAAGCGGGCACTGCGGCGGCTGTAGTGGGCTCTCCTCCTCCTTCCACCGCAACCCTAACCTCTCCTGTCCCCTCCCTCCAACTCTGTCTCTAAGTTATTTAAATTATGGCTGGGGTCTGGGAGGGTACAGGGGGCACTGGGACCTGGATTTGTTTTTCTAAATAAAGTTGGAAAAGCAGCTTCTGTGTCTCACAGATGCCCAGGACTGCTGCATCTGCCACGTGGCTCCAGGAGGTTGGCTCCCCTCCAGAGGCCCTGGGTCCATGTTAAAAACCTCATGGACTGCAGCAGTGGGTCCATCTAGCTCACCAGGCCTCCTGTTTTGAGGACTGCATCCACCTCTTTGTTCTGTGGGAGGAGAGCAGTCACTACCCCTCTTTGGAGTCAGATTTCCAATCTAAAATGGGGTGGGGACCTGGCTCTAGAGTAGTGGACATGTTGGTGTGGCAGTGGCCTTCCTGCTCAGGACAGCCAGGTGTGAGCATTCTGGCTTGAGGCTTACCTCATCTGGTTCTGGACTGGGTGAAGGTTCCTTCCCATTGCATCATCTGATCCCAGCTCTGCACCAAGGATTGGTTTTTCCCTTATGGGCAACAAAGCCTGTCCCATGTGTATTTCTGCATAACAGATCACAAAGCCACTGGCTTAAAGCAACACCTACTGGAGACTTCCTGTTGGAAGTCTGGACATGGCTGAGCTCATCTCTGCTCACTGAGTGCTTTGTAGGCTGAAATTGAGTTATTGGTTCGTGTTTCTTAGTCTGTGTCTTCTTCCAAGCTCATGGTTGTTGGTTGATTTCAGTTCTTGTAGAGCTGGCATCTCTAAGCTCAGAGAAGCTGCCCTCCTTGGGCCCTAGCAGGCCTGATTTAAGGGCCTTTTCCCTTTGAAGTGCTCACCTAGTCAGGTCAGGCCCATCCAGATACTTAAGTAATAATGACAAAATCACAGGGTAGGATCCCAGCCTAGTCTTAGTTTCTGCCCTGGAGGAAAGGGATTATTCTGGGTATGCACACCAGGGGATGAGTAAACTTCCCATTAATGTCTCATTAATTAAAAAAAAAAAAAAAAAATAGGCCATGCACAGTGGCTCACACCTGTAATCCCAACTTTAGGAAGTGAAAGGATCACGAGGTCAGGAGTTAAGACCAGCTCTGAAAACACAGTGAGATCCCATATCTACAAAAAGTAAAAATATGTGGCCGGGAGCAGTGACTCACATAATCCCAGTACTTTGGGAGGCCGAGGCAGGCAGATTGCCTGAGGTAGAGAGTTTGAGACCAGCCTGACCAACAGAGAAACCTTGCCTCTACTGAAAATACAAAATTAGCAGGGCATGGTGACACATGCCTGTAATCCCAGCTACTGAGGAGGCTGAGGCAGGAGAATCACTTGAACCTGGGAGGTAGAGGTTGTGGTGAGCCAAGATAGTGCCATTGTACTCCAGCCTGGGCAACAAGCAAAACTCTCTCTCAAAAAAAGAGTAAAAGTACATTTACAATAAAAAAATCTGAAAGTTCTGACCCATAGGAGAGTGGAAAACTCAAAGATAGCTTTAGTCCCAAAGGAATTTGCCTATTCTAATAAAACAGCTGAGGTTGAAACCTAGGGCTCAACCTCTAAAAGGGGTCTGCTCCTTCCTTGAGCCCTTGCCCCCAGTGATGATCCCCCATGCTAAGGGAGAAAAGGAACCAAAAATCTGCGCTCCTCCCTACCTGTAGCGGTGCGGGGAGCAAAGAAAAACAAGGGAAAAAAACCCTACAGATTTTCAGATCAAATTCACATCACTGGCCTTCCAAGAAATCTCAAGCCCTGTGTTTATCATCAAGCATTTCTGCATAAGAGAAGCAGACAGTCCTTGCTGAGGGAAGGTGCATGCCTCCTGGGCCTTGGGGAACCCACTGAAATAAATTAACCAATTATATAGTAAAAATGTAGCTCTGGTCTTAGACCCTGACAGAGTTTCTAAATCCCTTGGAATCTCCCGGGTAATAGGAGCAGTCTTTGTTGCAATGGAGTCATCTTTGATGGGCCCTAGGTGGCTTCAGGAAGGGGGTTGGTCACTGGAAATACCAAGGCAGAATTAGAGTTGGGAATTTCAGCCCCACCCACCCCTACCAATCTTTGGGAAGAGAGGGGCTGAAGGTTGAGGTCAATGATCTATGGTCAATGATTTGTTTAATATGCCATCTAATGAAACCTCCATTAAAACCGTAAACGAGGCAGGACACAGTGGTTTACGCTTGTAATCCCAGCACTTTGGAAGGCTGAGGCAGGCAGATCACCTGAGATCAGGAGTTTGAGACCATCCTGGCCAACGTGGTGAAATCTTGTCTCTATCGAAAATACAAAAATTATGCTGGACACGGTGGTGCCTGTCTGTAATTCCAGCTACTTGGGAGGTTGAGGCTAGGAAAATCACTTGAACCTGGGAGGCGGAGGTTGCAGTGAGCCGAGATCGCATCACTGCACTCCAGCCTGGGTGACAGAGCAAGACTTCATCTCAAAAAAAATTAGCCAGGCATGGTGGTGTGGGCCTGTAATCTCAGCTCTTCAGGAGGTGGAAGAATGAGGGTCGCTTGAGCCAGGCAGGTTGAGGCTGCAGTGACCTATGATAGTGCCACTGCACTCCAGCCTGGGTGACAGAGACGCTTCCTCAAAACAAACTGGGCACAGTGGTTCACCTATAATCTCAGCACTTTGGGAGGCCGAGGTTGGCGGATCACTTCAGGTTATGAGCTCCTGGCCAATGGGGCGAAACCCCATCTCAAGTAAAAATACAAAAATTAGGCCGGGTGCGGTGGCTCACGCCTGTAATCCCAGCACTTTGGGAGGCCGAGGCGGGTGGATCACGAGGTCAGGAGATCGAGACCATCCTGGTCAACATGGTGAAACCCCGTCTCTACTAAAAATACAAAAATTAGCTGGGCATGGTGGCGCGTACCTGTAGTCCCAGCTACTCGGGAGGCTGAGGCAGGAGAATTGCCTGAGCCCAGGAGGCGGAGGTCACGGTGAGCCGAGATCGCGCCATTGCACTCCAGCCTGGGTAACAAGAGCGAAACTCCGTCTCAAAAAAAAAAAAAAAAAATTAGCCATGCATTGTGGTACATGCCAATAGCCTCAGCTATTCAGAAGGCTGAGGCATGAGAATTGCTTGAACCGGCAAGGCAGAGGTTGCAGTGAGCTGAGATTGCACCACTGCCCTCCAGTCTGGGCAATAGAGTGAGACTCTGTCTCAACCCCCCAACCCTGCACCTCCCCACATACACAACAAAATGTATAAAGAGTTCTTACAATTCAATAAGAAAAAAAAAACAAAATACAAAATAAAAATTGGCAAAAACACAAGCACTTCACAAAACAGGAAATACAAATGGCTGCTTAACACAAGTAAAGGTGCTCAACATCATTAGTAATTGGGAAAATGCAAATGTAGACCAAGATTGATGCCATTACATTCCTTGGAGATTAACAATTAAATCTGAGAATACCAAGTGTAGGTAAGGTGGCAGAGCACTAGGAATTCCTATAGACTCCAGTTGGAAGAGTGAGATGGTAAAGCCCGTTTTGAAACTTTGTAGTAAAGTCAAAACTCAACTTACTCCTCAACCATCTTTTTTGTTTTGGTTTGGTTTTCATTTACATCAAGGTTCCCTTTATTTTTATTTCTTTACAACCATCCATGCTGCGGTAACTCCCTCCTGTGGCTCAAGCCCAAATCCCATTCTAGAAATTCTCATTCCCATTTCTTTTGTTTTTTTGAGATAGAGTTTCGCTGTGTCACCTAGCCTGGGGAGCAATGGTGCAATCTCAGCTCATTGCAACCTATGCCTCACGAATTTCAAGTGATTTCATGCCTCAACCTCCCGAGTAGTTGGAATTACAGGCAGGTGCCACCAAGCTGGGCTAACTTTTTTATTTTTAGTAGAGACAGGATTTCACCACGTTGGCCAGGCTGGTCCCATACTCCTGGCCTCAAGTGACCCACCTGCGTCAGCCTCCCAAAGTGCTGGGATTACAGGCGTGAGCCACCGTACCCTGACTCACATTCCCATTTCTGACTCTACAGGACATAGGTTGTTTTCTTTAAAAAGATGGGTTATCACTATGCTGTACAAGTTGGCCTCAAACTCCCAGGCTCAACTGATCCATCTCCCACCTCAGCCTCCCTAGTAGTTGGGACTATAGGCACGTACCACCATGCCCAGCTCTCATGTACTTGCACATACACAACAAGTTTAAAACATTTGTCCCAATTACAAACAGTGTAAACATGCTTGTATATTCAAGAAATATTTCACAGCACAACATAATCAAAACTAAGCAAGTCACAAAAGATACTACAGCTTGAATGCCTCATACACAATTCAAAAATAAGCAAAAATAAATTCTCATACATATGTTGGTGGTAAACTATAAAAGAAAACGAGGCGGCCGGGTGTAATGGCTCACTCCTGTAATCCTAGCATTTTGAGAGGACAAGGAAGGCAGATGGCTTGAGCTCACAAGTTAAAGACCAGACTGGGCAACATGGCAAAACCCTCTCTGTACAAAAAATACAAAAATCAGCTGGGTGTCATGGTGTATGCCTGTAGTCTCAGCTACTCAGGAGGCTGAGGTGGGAGGATGGCTTGAGCATGGCAGGCAGAGGTTGCAGTGAGCCAAGATCGTGCCACTGCACTTTAGCCTGAGTGACAGAGCCAGACCTTGCCTCAAAAAGGAAAAGAAAGCAAGTAACTTCCATAAAAGTCAGAATAATGTTCACCTCCAGCCAGGGTTGAATCCATGGGTGGTTTTGAGGGTCTATAGTCTTCAATTTCTTGACCTGGGTATTGGTTACATAGGTGTTTGCTTTATGATTTTTTCTTTTTCTTTTTTTTTTGGAGACGGAGTTTCACTCTTGTTACCCAGGCTGGAATGCAATGGCGCGATCTCGGCTCACCGCAACCTCCGCCTCCTGGGTTCAGGCAATTCTCCTGCCTCAGCCTCCTGAGTAGCTGGCATTACAGGCACACGCCACCATGCCCAGCTAATTTTTTGTAGTTTTAGTAGAGATGGGGTTTCACCATGTTGACCAGGATGGTCTCGATCTCTTGACCTCGTGATCCACCCGCCTCGGCCTCCCAAAGTGCTGGGATTACAAGCGTGAGCCACCGCGCCCGGCCGATTTTTTCTTTTCTTTTGAGACGGAGTCTCACTCTTTGGCCACGCTGGAGTGCATCTCACATAGTGAGACCTTGTCTCTACAAAAATATTTAAAAATTAAGGACGGGCGTGGTAGCTCATGCCTATAATCCCAGCACTTTGGGAGGCCAAGGTGGGCAGATCACCTGTGGTCAGGAGTTTGAGACCAGCCTGGCCAACATGGTGAAACCCCATCTCTAAAAATAAATAATTAGCTGGGTGTGGTGTTGTCCACCTGTGGCATCAGCTACTTGGGAGACTGAGGTGGAAGGATTGTTTGAGCCCAGGAGTTCAAGACCAGCCTGACCAATATGGTGAAACCCTGTCTCTACTGAAAATAGAAAAATTAGCCAGGCATGGTGGCAGGCACCTGTAGTCCCAGCTACTCGGGGCTGAGGCAGAATCACTTGAACCCCGGAGGTGGAGGCTGCAGTGAGCCAGGGTCATGCCATTGCACTCAAGCCTGGGCAAGAGTAATACTCTGTCTCAAATAAAAAATAAAAAATAAAAAAAAAATCCAAAGGATTGGTGATCGCCGGGGCCTAGAGGAAACGTGCATGGCAGTGGCTGCTTCATGGATACTGGGTATCCATTCGGGATGATGAAATGTTCTGGAATAAGATAGGGGTTGTGTTTGCAAAGCTTTGTGAAGACTAAAAATCACTGAATCATGCACTTTAGCATGGACTTTGTTATGTGAATTCTATGTTTTGTTTTTTGGAGACAGGGTCTTACTCTGAGCCTAAGGGCCAGCTAGGAGCTTCAAAGAGGAAAGGCCTAGGAGACTGCAGCCTAAGGAGGCCGGGGAGACAGGGCCAGATCCGAGGACTTGCTGGCCCTAGATAAGGGTTTAGGCTTTTATTCCTCATGGGAGGTGGGCACAGGTCTGATTTATCATTGGTAATGATCAATTTGCTACTGTGTAAAGAACAGCTTGGAGGGACAGCAAGGGAGCAGGCAGGTGTGGGAGGCTGGTGGGAGCAGGGACCATTGGAGGCGTGATTCAGACATGCCACGGGTGGTCTCAGACAGGGAGCAGAGGCTTCTGAATTGGGTCCCCCAGGATGGCAGGAACCAGGGGTGCCCTGGATGTTGGATCCTTGGTCCCTGGCAGTGGCTGAGTAGGTGCCCAGGAAACATGTTGGGATCAACAGCATGACTCCCCTCATCCAAGCCTCTCGAATGTCTTGGTGTCTTCCAGGCTGCAGTGCAGTGGTGGGATCATGGGCTCACTGTACCCTCATGCTCCTGGCTCAGGTGGCCCACCCACATCAGCCTCTACCCAACCTCTGAGTACCTGAGACCACAGGTGGCACATCACCACACCCAGCTAAGTTTATTTTTTTAGACAGTGTCTCACTATGTTGCCTAGGATGGTCTCAAACCCCTGGCCTCACAAGCTGTAAAAAACACTAGGAAGAAAACTGTACAAAGCAAACAGGAGGGCTGGGCAATGAGAAGCTACTTTATAACGGGTGGCCCAGGAGCTGAGCCCTGAGTGACAAGAGCCAGCTCAGAGAGATTGGGGAGGGATGGGCACAGCTGGAGGGCTGGGTGTAGACAATGCTCAGGCTGTTCAATGCCTGCTGCTACGCTGCACCTTGGGGCTGCCACCTCCCTTGCAGGTATGAGCCACCACTCACCAAGTTGTCCATCTCAAAGATGGTGCCGCATCAAGCAAAGCCCACCCCCTCCTAGTGTGGCTGTGCCCACTCCCTGGATGTGAAAGTGGTCTTTGTCATGTCACACCTGTTATCCCCCAGGTGTTGGGAACACCACAAGGCCTCAAACCCTGCTGCAGCACCAGGGCCCAGAACAGGGCTGTGGGCAGCTCAGGGTCCAGGCCTCAGTCCATACTCTTCTGGGCTAGAAAAGGCCTTTTTTCTGAATGGAAGCCACAACCCCAGCTGGGCGTCTTCAGACCACCTCACAATGGGACCGTAGGTCTAGATCACAGGTCAGCAAGCTTTTTCTGTGAAACAGTGACTCTCACCCCCATCAGTGCTGAGACAGCTACCCGACCCCTCCTGCATGGCTAGCTATCACATCACCTCTAGATGGACAAGCTGACATGCATGTTTTGATGACATGGCCTGAATGACAACACACAAGGCCAGAGCTCCCCAAAACTCTTCAAAAAGGGAGGCACAGTCAAGGCAGGTGAGAAGGCCAGCTGACTTTATTGCTTTGAGAGCAGGGGGCTCAGGAGCTCTTGGTGGGGCGGGTCCGCTTCCTCTTCACCATCACAGGCTTCTGGCTGCGCAGGATGGCGCTAGCCCTGCGGATAGCTGCCTAGGGGGCGGGGAGGGCAGAGCAAGGCTCAGCTCACACACCACAAGCCACCCCCAGGCCCATGCTGGGGGTGGGGGGAATAGGCTGAAAGCAAGAATCCATCCCTCCCCAGCCCATTATGCAACCAGAAGTGGGAGGCCCTTCCCCACAGCACTGGCCAGCCTCCCCTAGCCTGACCCCCAACCCCGGCTCACCATGCGCAGGTCGGGCCGGTACTTGTTCTTGCGTATCATGTGTCTGATGCTGCTGAGCGTGGCGCGAGCATTCTTGTTGATGGTGGTCCGCACGTAGGAGGTAGCAGGCTTCCGCTGGCCTGGTTGAGAATGAGGGAGGTCCTGGGGTCAGTCAACCTAACCTGTACCTTAAGGGCACCTCACAGGTGTAGACACAGTCTCACACTGAGAAGATGAGCACCCTGGGCCGATGGTGGACGCCTGGGCAGGCCGGCAGGTAGCTGTCTCCCCACCTGTCCATTTAACAGAAGCTCGCTCATCATCAGAGTACTGAGGAGACGGCTTCTGTCACACTCATAGCCCAATTCTGTCCACCACAAAAACACCCCTTACCCATGCCAGGAAGTTGCCGCTTCAGTCAGGGTCTGGTCCAGGTCCAGCCAGAGCCCAAGCTCCTGGTAATGGGTATGAGCAGCTTCCCAAGAAGCCCAGACCCATCACCACAGCAGTGGTTAAACATCAGCTCATTGGCTGAGAGGGGCTTGACCCCAGAGCAGGGTTTACCCCACACTCCATCCAGTCCCTTACTCTAGGAAGGGCCACCTGTTATTTGCCAATTCAAGTGCTTTCAGGATGCCCCAGAAAGGGGTCTCCAGGTGCAAGCAATTGGCTGCTCCCTGGACTGTGCATCCCTGAGACAGGAGGACCACTAGCCAGCAGGCTGTGTTTGTTGCTCCCATTGAATGAAAGGGCCTTTGGCTCTGAAGCAGTTCCAATCAGGGACCTGAGAAAAACTCACTCTAAAAAAACAAAACACAGCCTTCGCCAAGAACACAAGCGAAGCTGGACTCCTCCATCAGAAACCCCCCCCTCACACGAACTCAAGGAATCCCAAAAAAGGCCTGTGCCTGACAGCACAGTGTATAGGGCGGGGTCCTCCGGACCTCTTCTCCAACCTACACAGGCAGAATGGGAGTCGAATGACTGCGACCAAGCCAGCTTGCTAAGTGTGGCAGCGAGGGCCCCTCTCCTGTTGTGCCTCAATTTTCCCACCTGTGAGATGAAGCCTTCCATCCCCACCCTGACTTGCTTTGAGGATTTCATCTGAAAACGGCAACCCTGTCCCTCAACTCTCAACAACCACCGGGGAAGTTCAGGTCCTTTTTCGTTTCAACACTTTACAAGTGAGGACGCCGGCTAGACGCGGGCGGCTCCCAGAGCTGGCAAGTCGGCGGAGAGGGAAGTCAGTTCCCAGGCCGACATCCTGGCGCCAGGGATGCTCGCCGCGGTGGCAGTGTCACTATTCCCGCCTGAGAGTAAAAAATCACAGCTCTTGCCCCAGGAAGGGGTCCACTCTCGCCCAAGCCAGTTAAAACTCACCGGATCTCCGCTTCATGACCACCACAACACCTTTGCCGTCGGCTGCCGGCTCCACGCCCACAGTCTTGCGGTGAATCAGCCCGTTGTAGCGGAAGGAGTTGCGGGCCTTCAAGTTATTGGGCTCCTGGGAAGCAGGCGGCACAGGGCATGGTGAAGACACGGAGGCCCGCGAAGGTCCCGCCCTCCGACCGAGGCAGGACCCAGGACCCTCCTCCCGCAGGAGCCACGCATCTGGGCCCCACTTACGGTGCTGTAGGTCTGCTTGTTCCTCTTGATCAGGAAACTGGAGCAGTTCCGCACGACCATCCATTGCAGATGCGCAGACATGGCGGCGGCTGCGGGGAAACAGGCACGTGGAAGGCGTCAGACACGGAGAACTAAACCGCGGTTGGGCCCCGGGCCCCGTTCGGACAGCAAAGGAAGAGAGCGACTGGGAACCTGGGTGAATGGGAGACACTTCAGGGCAGACGGCGACCTGGAACTCTGACAGGCGGGACTGAGTGACCTAAGGCGGCGGGCGCGAACTCAGACAGCCGAGACTAACTGCGGGCAATGAAGGTGAGGGGAAAATAACCTGAGAATCCACAACGACTTCAGTTGGCGGGGATGGGGATCCGCCAAGGGCTCTTGAGGCCCAAGGGGAGAAAGCAGGCAGGGGAGAGTGGGCGGCGGGCGCGAGATGGCGGCCACGCCGGGCAGGGGAAGAGCGCACCCTCACCTCCTCTCGCGGCGCCGACCTGAGGCGGAAAGAGGCGGGCAAGGGGCGGGGCGACGACTTTAATAGCGGATACGCATTTCCGCTTCCTCTCTGGGCGGGCGCCACAGGGGTCGTCGGTCCCCGCCTCCGAGGCGGCTCCAGGATGTTCGGCTACTTCCGCCGACCAAACGCTCAACGCTCGGGAATACTCGGAACTCTGGTTAAAGGACCGACAGAATGTCCGGAAGTTTTCGGAACTCCACGGCTGGATTTCCTAATGGCTCCAATTCGAGAAGTCCCGGGACCCATTCCTACCCGTTGTCTCTCCGGTATTGCTCTCCCAGCGCTTGTCACTGTAATTGGCATATGATGGACGCTCAATAAACTTTTGTTTTATGAATGAACTTGTGAATGCGAGACCTATGTAAGCCTAGCCCCGACACGATATTTCCGGTCTTCGTAAGCCCAAGCGGTGACGGCCGATGAAGGCGCCGAGGCCCGCTCGGGTACTTTCGGAACCATCCGGAAACGCTCTTCGGAGAGGTGTGCCTCTTCGGAAACACTCCGTCTTCATTCGGAATCCCTCGGCTAATCTCGGCAGCCCCCTTGCAGTTCGCCCTCCCCAGAGTTTTCTTTAAATAAACCCTTAAACTGTTCAAGCCTGGCGAGAACCTACACGGAAACTTCTCGCAGACTGCCAGCCCAGGGGAGCGCGATGCTCTCTAAGGGAGAGTTATTTGGAGGGAGAGAGATTTGCATGTGGCTGCTCTTGGCTCCCTTTAGGGATTCCACAGATTCGCCCGTCCTCTTCCCTGCCCTCCACCTGTGGCTCCAGCCTGCAGTGTGCCTGTCAAAACCCATCAGCTCCCTGGGAGGTTATGATCCGCTGTCAGGGCTACCCTAAAGGGCAGGAGCTTTGCCTGATATTTCTCTGTGTCCTCGGCCTCACCCACGCGGCATGGCACTGGGGAGGCCTCAGAGACTCCTACTAAACAAAACGACTGAGAGTGCTTGTGTCACCTCCCCAGGGCGCCTTAACTTGCCGTTCCACCCGGGAACTCCTTGGGGCAGGGCCCTCTTCTGATCCGTAGGACTATCCATAGACAGTCGGGGTTTACGCAGCCTCCTCCACGGGTGCGCTCTGTACCTGATTGGGTCCTTCTTTGTGCCCTTGGCTTCATTCGCTGGGCACACAGGAGACCCCAGAAGATACGCGCGGAGTGAACCCCCACCGCGAGCTTCCCCCCTTAGACCACCCCGACTACTGGTTTTTGCGTCCCAGATACCCTTGAGGTCTAGGGGCCTTGTCAGATCTGCACAAGGCTCCGGGAGGCGGACACTGAGCAGAAACAACGCCACGCCCGGCTCCGAGTGTCCCATGCTGCCACCACTAAAATGCCCTGATTTTTGGCCATGTGTGACCTCCCTGGGTGGCACGGGCCCTGAACCACCCGTGGCTGTGCGCCTGGCTACCCCAGCGCAGGCCTCTGAGCAACAGTCCGTGCCCGGAAACCAAGGCCGAGGCAACCCCGGCCGGGTCGGTTCGCGCCCAGCCCGGTCGGTTCGCGCCCAGCCCAGCTCAGGTGACCAGGCGGGAACTTGGCACACCTGGCGCAGTCCCCTGACCCCGCCCCAGGCCGGGCCGCACCCCGGAACGCTCTCTCCGGGCGCCAGCGGCGGCGGTACAGGGCCATGGCGGCTGCGGCAGCGGTGTGCGCCTCGCAGGGGCCCCCGCCGAGTGCACCGTCCGCGCCAGCAGCTGCGCCCGCACCCGCGACCGGCCTGGGCCGCTGCCGGATGGCGCTGCTGTTGGCCGTGGCGCTGGACGTGGCGGGCATGGCGGCGCTGCTGACCGGCGTGTTCGCGCAGCTGCAGGTGCGCGGCCGCGACTTCGGGGACCTGCTTATCTACTCGGGCGCGCTGCTGGTGTTCCTGAGCCTGCTGGGCTGGATCCTCTGGTACACGGGCAACATCGAGATCTCGCGCCAGGAGCTGGAGCGCGACTACGGCCTGCGGCCCTCGGCGCTCGCCCGCCTGGCGCGCAAGCTCTCCCGCCGCTGGTCGGCGCCCGCCGCCGCCGGCTCGCGCCCCACGCCCGGCTCCCGGAGAGCGCGCCGAGCCACCCGGGCGCCCCCGCCGCCCGCCGCCGGCTCCCGCCGCGTGCGCCTGCAGCTCGCCACGCTCGAGGCCGGGCCCGGGGCGGCGGGCGGGGGCAGCGAATGAGGCCCAGGTGAGGGGCAGGCGGGCGGGGCGGCGGGGGAAACGCAGGGCCTGAGGGAGGGACGTGGGGAATGGAGACAGACGGGGAGCGTTAGACAGATTGAGACGGAGAGCGGCCATGGGGTTGTAGAGTCCCAGCGCGGGTGGACACCAGATGGGGAGACTGGCCGAGAACCGCAGACAGCGGGCACAGGTGCAGACGTGGGGGAGGCTGTGAGACCCTGCCCTGGAGGTGAGGTGGGAAGTGTGGCGGCCGAGTCACAGGCCCCCCACGGGGAGATCCACACTCGCTCCAGCCTCCAGGTGCACCAGGCCGCCCCCCCGCGCCCCGCTCCTTTTTTTTTTTTTTTTTGGTTTCGTTTTGGTTTGGTTTGGTTGTTGTCGTTTGGGGTTGTTTTGAGACAGGGTCTCTCACTGTCACCCAGGCTGGAGAGCAGTGGCGTGATTTTGGCTCACCACAGCCTCGACCTCCTAGGCTCAAGCAATCCTCCCACCTCAGCCTCCCAAGTAGCTGGGACTATAGGCGTGCACCACCTTGCCGGGCTAATTTTTGTATTTTTAGTAGAGACGGGGTTTTCCCATGTTGGCCAGGCTGGTCTCAAACTCCTGAGCTTATGGGATCTGCTCTCCTTGGCCTCCCAAAGTGCTGGGATTACAGGTGTGAGCCATGCAGCCTGGCCCCCCCGTTTAATCCTCTCGATGTAACTGGGTCTCTGAGGTCACTACTATTACCATCTCCATTCTGCAATGGAGGAAACTGAAGCACAGAGAGGCGCCACTTTTGCCCAAAGCCACACAACACGGAGGTGGAGGATCTGGGATTCTCCTGACCTGTAGTCCTAGGAGAGGAGGAGTAAGAAGGACCAACCGTGGCAGAAGAAGTGAAGCCACCACACATTCACTCCCCTTTCCCCTCTACCTTCTCTTTCCTAAACACACCTCTCCAGCTTGCTGCCTCTGCTCAAAGACCTGCTGTGGCTCCCTCTTCACCTTTGGTTAAACTGAAGCACCCACTGGGCTCTGGAGCCCCCATATTTTGTCCCCATTTCTCCTGCCTCTCTGCAGTAATGATGTCTCTCAGTCTACAGATGGCCAGTTGGTCCCTGTTCCTGCTCTTCTCTATATGAGGAGTGCCCTTGGCTGTCTCCACTCCACCTAGAAAACTTCTCACATGTTTAAGATCCAACTCAATTTCTCTGGCTTTCTCTGGATCTTCATATTGTCTGAGTGACTCCTCTTGCTGCGTGTATGGCCGTCTGCTGGGTCTGTGTTGGTACAGTCTCTCCCACCTGACGGGGAGTGCCTTGAGGGTAAGACCTAGATTCCTGGTGCCCTTGTTCCTAGCATTGCCCAGCAAAAAGGGTGAAATCAGGAAAGGTTGGTGGTTGGGTAGGAAGGTGGAAGGATGGATGGATAAATGGACGGAAGAATTGATGGCTGGATGGGTGGATGGATGGGTGGATGGGTAGATGAGTGGGTGGGTGGATGGGTAGATGGGTAGATGGATGGGTGGACGATGGATGAATTGTTTGATGGATGGATGGGTGAATGGATAGATGGATGTGTGGATGAATGGGTGAATGGGTAGATGGGTGGGTGGGTGGATGGGTGGATGGATGGATGAATTGTTTGATGGATGGGTGAATGGATAGATGGATGGGTGGGTGGGTGGATGGGTAGATGGGTGGGTGGGTGGATGGGTAGATGGTTAGATGGGTAGATGGATGGGTAGATGGGTGAGTGGGTGGATGGGTAGATGGATGGGTGGATGGGTAGGTGGATGGGTGGATGGATGGATGAATTGTTTGATGGATGGATAGGTGAATGGATAGATGGATGGGTGAATGGGTAGATGGGTGGGGGGTGGATGGGTAGATGTATGGGTGGATGGATGGATGAATTGTTTGATGGATGGATGGGTGAATGGACAGATGGGGGTGGGTGGATGGGTGAATGAATGGGTTGGTTGATGCAGAGATGTGATTGAATTGATGGATGGATGGGTTGTTTTGTGGGTAGATGTGGGTAGGTGTTGGATTGGTGGATGAACCATGAATGGATATGGCTTGGGAGGGAGCCTTGCCTGATATTTCTCTGTGTCCTCGGCCTCACCATGCAGCATGGTGCTGGGGGAGGCCTCAGAGACTCCTAGTGAACAGAAGGAATGAGGGTACCTGTGTCACCGCCCTGGGACACCTCACCTTGCAGTTACACCTAGGAACTCCTTGGGGCAGGGGCCTTGGCTGCTCCATAGGATTATCCATAGACAGTCGGGGTTTGCCCAGCCTCTGTGCATGCTCTGGATAGGTAGATGGGTGAATGGGAGGTTGGATGGATCGTTGGGGCTGATTGACGGGTACACAGATGAGTGGATGAATGTATTTATTGGAATATGGATGGATGGGTGACTGAATCCATCTCTCAAATAGGGGTTTGGTAAAAGAATTAAACCTTCCTTTCCTAGGACATTCTGTGTAGGTAAAGAATTAACTTTTCTCCTATGCATCCAGAATGTTACCAGTTATGTATTATTCTTAGTGAGATTTGAAGAAATAGTCGCCCCAATCATACTCTACGTGCCATGGTTCAGTTCAGGGGATAGGGTAAAAGAGCATGAATAACCGCTTGCTCAGGCGAAGCGTGAGCTGACATGGAGCTTGGCATGGAATGCAACAGTAAGCACCTGCAGTCACTCTCACCTTTGAAAATCCTGGCTGAGCACGGTGGCTCACACCCGTAATCCCAGCACTTTGGGAGACCGAGGTGGGAGAATTGCTTGAACCTGGGAAGCGAAGGTTGCAATGAGCCAAGGTCACGCCACTGGGCGACAGAACGAGACCCGTCTCAAAAAAAAGGAAGAAAAAAAGAAAATCCTTTATGAGGCCAGGCACAGTGGTAATCCCAGCACTTTGGGAGACTGAGGCAGGTGGATAACCTGAGGTCAGGAATTCGAGACAAACCTGGCAAATGTGGCAAAATCCCATCTCCACTAAAAAGACAAAATTTAACTGGGTATGGTGGTGGATACCTATAATCCCAGTTACTCCGGAGGCTGAGGCAGGAGAATCACTTGGACCTGGGAGACGGAAGTTGCAGTGAACCAAGATCACACCACTGCACTCCAGCTTGGGCAACAGAGCGAGACTCCATCTCAAAAAAATAAAAAGAAAATCCTTTACGTAGCTCAAACGTCTAACACAGCTGCACAGGCCTCCACTCTTGGAGGCTCCACCAAAGACTCAGACCACGCTGACTTGAACAAAGGCCCCACTTACAGGGAAAATGAGCCTGTTCAGACCCAGGACTCCCCCTTACTGGGGAGGGTGAGCAATGTCTGGCACAGGAAGGACAGAGAACCTGCATTTTAGCAGAGGGACACACGGATTTCTAGCTCTGGTAGCCCCCAGAACCTCCAAGACCACCATGAGCAGCAGAGCGGAGCCATCCCCATCGCTCTGTCGTCCAGGCTGGAGTGCAGTGGTGCAATCATGGCTCACTGCAGTCTCGATCTCCTGGACTCCAGCCATCCTCCCACCTCAGCCTCACAAGAAGCTGGAGCTACAGGTACGAGAGACAGGGTCTCCCTATGTTACCCAGGCTGGTGTCAAACTCCTGGGCTCAAGTGATCCTCCTGCCTGCAGCCAAAGTGCTAAAGTGAGGGTCCGAAATGAGGGCCACAGTGCCCAGCCTCCCTCTGTCTTCTCTGTGTCTGCCTTTCTCCCTCTCTCCCTCTTCGTCTCTGAGACTCTGTCTCCCAGGTCTCTTTCTTTGTCTCTGTGCCTCTGTCCTTCCCCTTCTGAATCTCCATGTCTCCCCTTCTTCTGTGTCTCCCCCTGTCTTCTGCGTCTCCCCCTCTTTTCTGCCTCTCCCTCTCTCTCCTTCTGCGCCTCCCCCTCTGCCTGTCCCTGGCTCACATTCCCTGTCTTCTACCCATGGATTCCAGTGGGTAAAAGGCACACACTTATGCACACACTCAGTAAATAAGGGCATGCAGGGACGAAGAAGCAAGGGCAGGTGGAAGGGGTTCCCTGCCTCTGCCCCCCCAGGCTGCTGGGTGGTGCACCCCGAACACAGGGACAGGAGGGGTTCCTGAGCAGTCACTCACTCCACCCTCACTCCCGCAGCAACCCCTCGGCCCCAGCTGTCAGGACCAGAATGAGATGTGCAGCTGCCCCTACATCGGCGGCCAGCAGGACACCCCCTGCCCACCTCCCTCCTCACCTGGATAAAAAACAGATTCACCTCAGCACTGCCTGTCTGTCTCGGAGAGGAACCTGCTGGGGTGGGAATGGAGACGAGATGGCCTGCTTCCTTCTAGGGCCCAGGTGGGCCTGGCCACACCCGAGGTGAGGCGGCCCCTGCCCTGGGGAGCCCGGGAGCCCTGGGGATATAGGCACCCAGGCTTATGCTGCCTCTTCTCAGAGGGGACCCGGGAGGGGGTGGGGGTAAGGCTCTCAGCCCAGACCCCTCTACTCTACCCAGACCTCCCTGGGTGTGTTTGGATTCTCCGAGAAACAGACACAGAGGCAAATTGGATTTGTGAGATGTTTATTGGGGAAACACTTTTGAAGGGTAACTTGGTGCAGGGAGATGGAGGGATGGGTAGGGTGAGTCCTGGACCGCAGCGCCCTCCAAGAAAATTGCCCCTGGCCACTAGGAGCTGGGAGCTGGCTTTGTTGTCCATGGGGGAGGCCCCTGCCCTTCAAGAAGGCGCCTTGTACCCGGAACCCCCACCCCTTGCCTCGCCAAGCTCAGTTACTGGTTGAGAGCCGCCCATGGTCATCTAGGTGCATCCAGGGTGGGTTCAGGGGCACTTCATGTGGCAGGAGACTGAGGGGGATATTTCCCCAGCTGTGCCATGCCCCTCCCCGCCAGTCCAGGCACCCCTTAGCCCCCGCCATCCCCACATGCCCCCAGTCACCCCATTTCAGACCCTCCTTCCAGCCCGTGCACACCTCTGCCCCGCCAGTCCAGGGCCCCCGTGAGCCCAGCTCTCCTTCATCTCAGATCCCCTCCACTTACCTCCCAGACCTCTCTCATTCCAGGGTCCCCCTCAGCTCACACCCCCATGCACAGCCTGTGCCCCCTGAGCTCCCATCCCCAAGCCCCCTGCAGCCTCCACCTGTACCCCCACCTCTGTGTGCACCATGCCTCTGCTCCCCACAGCTCTCCGAGAAGAGACCACGCGTCCACACACCATATCTGTATTGAGTGCTTCCCTGGGGACACCCCTAATCTTCGTCTTCCACGCCCTCCGTCTCCTCTCCCTCTTCTGTCCCTTCCCCCTCGGTGCCCCCCTCCGTGTCCTTGCCCGATTTGACCATGGAGCTGGATGTCTTCTTGCTCCCTCGTTCCTTGGAGAGCAGCGAGACCCTCCGGGATAGGTCGCAGTTACCCGCCAGGAAGCTGGGAGTGTGCAGCAGGTCCCGGCGCCTGGCCCACCTGCAGAGAGAGCAAACCGCTCAGCCCCCGCAGCCCCCCTGGATCCCTGGGGATGCAGGCACCCACCCCAGCCCAGGCCCACTCACCAGAACAAGCAGACGCCGCAGCTCAAGAAGAGGAGGCCGCCACACGTCCAGCCCAGCGCCCACATGTGCTTCCTCCGCATGTTTTCTGGACAAGGGAGGCAGGGTTAAGACCCGGGGCTTCTGCACCAGACCCACCCCCCCGGGAGCTGGGACCCGGGGCCCTCACCATCTGGACGCTGGTGGTAGCAGACCCCATCGCGATAGCAGCACCGTAGGCGCAGGCAGAGGTTGGGGCTGTCGATGGCCGCCTGGCCCCCACAGCTCTCCCGGTCCCACACATCACCCTCACAGCCTGGGGACCAACCACCAGTGGCTGGCTTCTTCACAGCGCCCCGCCTCAAAGGCCTCAGACACGGGATGCCAAGGCCACGCTCCCAGGCTGCCTTCCTGGTGCTTACTCCGTGCAGGACTCAGGGGTCCAGGCCCAGCCCCTCCTCCCTCAGACCCCACGGATCCAGGCCCAGCTCCTCCTCCCTCAGACCAGGAGTCCAGGCCCCAGTCCCTCCTCCCTCAGACCCAGGGGTCCAGGCCCAGGCCCTCCTCCTTCAGACCCAGGGGTCCAGGCCCAGGCCCTCCTCCCTCAGACCCAGGAGTCCAGGCCCCCAGCCGCTCCTCCCTCAGACCCAGGGGTCCAAGGCCCCCAGTCCCTCCTCCCTCAGACCCAGGAGTCCAGGCCCCCAGCCCCTCCTCCTTCAGACCCTCTGGTCCAGGCCCAAAGCCCCTCCTCCCCCAGACCCAGGAGTCCAGGCCCCCAGCCCCTCCTCCCTCAGACCCAGGGGTCCAATCTGGGCTCTTCTCCCTCAGACCCAGGATTTCATCCACTGCTCACTCCATGGATAGAAGAATCCCTGGATTCCATTCCCGTCTGTGAGAGAAAGGGCAGTGTTGGGCTGTGTGGGGCCGGGTGCCCTCCTCAGAGCCCT